ATATAATTTGTACCCACTGAGAGAAATCAAAAGACAGAGTCGAGGAGATCGGAAGAGTGTATTTGGCGATTGCTAATATATCGGAATTCTCCGATCTAATCTGGCTAGCGATTGCGGTAGATGTTAAGCACAGCGTTAACACACGTGATCTGGTGCGGATGCATGACCGAGCGCCTTCAGTCAGATTAGTCCACTAAAACATATGGTCAGCTATCAATGTCGAAAACTTACAGAGCTATTTATTTTGGGGAGTTATTTACCGCTACATAACTATACTATGCTAGATATGATTTCTTGATGAATATTGACGGGAATCGAATCCCTTCGAACTTTATGACATATGACATACCAGCTACTGTTGTAAAAGAATACCTACGACATGAAAAACCTTATTTTAATTCGTGAAGCACTACCACTGGCCATAGTTAGGACACAACAACGCAAGCATCTTAGTTGTATGCAGTTGTATGTATGAAACACTATATGACAATCGAAATGACTTATAAATTGAAAGTGTTCTTCCAAACTATCCAGGACACTCAAATGCACATATACTAAAACAGCAAAAGAGACCACGAACAGGCCAACCAACTCAAACGATTCAAATAAAAGTTCTCGCCGTCACTTCGGCTGCTCAAGACAGTTTCAACAAAAGAGAGGACTTGGAAACGCACACACGATAAGGCATTTATAATATTTCGCTCTTAATAGCAGATGCTACCAATCGATCTGAATTCTAAATTATTTATGTACGAGCTAACCCTTTGGTTAAGCGTACGAAAACTAATATACCCTGGTTTTTCAGTGCTAACAGGAAAGCATGTACCAGTCTTGAAGTTAATAAGACTGATATTCAGACCTGGACGTGAGTGGATTGCACATGTAGCGTGGTGTCGAATCGAAATTGACTATGAACACTGCTACAGAGAAACACGTGCCAAATAAATCCATAAAATCCCGCGGAAGACAAATATCGGAAGGCAGTTAATGGACCAAATCGAGATATATACTCTGGAGATCTCGTGGTATCGAAAGGATACCAAGATCATGCCAGGATACAAGCTTGGTTACAGAACGTAACCGAATCCACGCGAGTTCACAATCGAAGTGTAAAAATAGTGGATGCTTTTTAGCTCAGTTAAACAAAAGCACATTAAATCAAGCACTAGTACAGTTGGTTATAATAATGATTGTTTTCAATAAACCAGTCGTGTTCTCCTGTAAAAAGTGAGTCACTACACACATATCCCGTTAACGTGGGCAGCAAACAAAAAGATTTCGCCTTTTTGGAAATGAATCCATGTTGCAAAAGTATAATAATTTGGTGCTCATCTAGATGATAGCCAATATTATTTTAATGGAAATTTTATCCGAAGTTCTAGATGAGATGGAGGCGTAGTCAATTACACGATAGTTATCTACGTCTAATCTGGATTTCTTTTTAAGGTAAGGGATAATGTACTTACTTTTCCATCATTTAGTGAAAATGCCAGAATCAAAGGATAGATTAAAGATCCTATTAGGCAAGAGGGAAACGTTAGAACCCATCATAACAACTTCTAAGAGAAGGTTTTAATGAGATTATTGCACCTCTCACAATACTCTGTGTCAATTCTATATCTGTTTATACATATGCGTTGAAGCTGCCGGTTATGCGTACATTCTGACTACTTCTAGTGAATCTCTGTGTAAATGTGTTGTTAAGTAGCTGACATAGTTTTTAATGTTGCTGATTGAATGTTGGGAATAAATGAGTAATCGTGCTGAAAAAAGCATTCTTCAGTTAAGATTTGAATTTGTTAAGAATATAACCACAATAAGTAACATATGGATTTTTTGTTATAATTAGAGCGACTAAGTTCAGACTGGACTTAAGTTTATGATAAAGAAATTTCAGTGTAGCATTACACTCACTAGAAGAAAGAGACACATCCCAAATAAGATCACGTAGTAGAATTTCGGGGTTGAACCAGTTGATGCTTGCAGAGTTTCTGGATACAACGAAAGAGCAGTCCACGTTAGATCTGTTCAATCTAATCCATCATCATTTTCTATCATTTCTTATTGCATTCTGAATTTTGTATTTTTCAGCCACTCGTTACATTACATTCAGGACCACTTTTTCATAGTCACTAACGATATCGAGAAAGTAAGGGGAGACAAATAATAAATATTTCTACAGTCTTAACTTTGCTGGTAGACAACCATGAGAACGAGTCCTTGATCGCATTCAAAGTCTTAGTATCGGAGGCACTTTAATTGGAAAGTAGGTCAGCGTTTGACTGATAGTAATAGGAAAAATACTGTACAATCCTGGGATAAGGCAACACTTCATTTAGGCTACGCCGTCTGTATAAGGAAACCCTCTACACTAAGGTTGATGGTGCAAGGTCTAACTAAACACGCCTTGGCCTCAGTCGACCTTGATTTCCAACCCACCTTACAGAACACAGAGACCAAGGTCTCAGTGTTGGAATACACTATACAGACAAAAATCCTTCAGCGACCAGCTCGCTCAGAACTGGTTAACACACCTTAAACAACAAACTGTTTAAAAGCCAGATTGCAGACTGCTGTAGAGGTGAGCCACATACTGAGACAAACAACCAAATGCCTCTGTAGCAACGTAGGGGATTATAGGGTAAAGTAGCAAAAGTTAGAAACATGTACATCCATTTAGATCTGAAGATCATAGTCTTCACTGAAATATGGCTATCGCCCTGATGAAAAGTGTGCTTATGATACACGATATTTTTCAAATGCAACAGAGTACAAAAAAATAGGAGGTGAGGTTAGAATATATATCAATAGGCACTTCAAAGCCAAAACGCCACAGAGTGCTGAGCTAATCGAGGTGGCAGCATCATGCTAGTGTTGTTTAGATATTAACGGCATGAAGTACTTTAATAAAGAAATATACACACCACTTACTTTTTCAAGAACCCAAAAACATGAAATAATGCAGGATACAGTGAAATTACCGCACCTCAGTTTTGACCATATACAACTAGCCGAAAACTTCAACACTCCATGTGATCACAAACGAAATACTTCGCCAGGACGATAATGTTCCCTGACTTAGTTAAACTAGAGTGAATCATACCACTATGTAGATTACCTCTTTGTCATATCCAGGTACTATGGTTGCTTTAATGACCGTATAATACAAACAACGTTATTATGGTAAAATTTTGGTAAGAGTAGGCACAAGGAACAGCATGCGACCACCATAGTATGGGCTAGTCCATGGCATGCAGTTAAACGATGCTGATTGGTTGTCATTAATCTTGGCAAGGATTGGTGAACTGTTCGACTTTCAGTAGAGCGACTGCTGTACGATTTCGGAAGGGACGTGACACTTCGATGACCCTACAGAATTAATAACAATAGAGGAACAAGCAGTAGATGTTGCGTCAGAATTTAGCCCGTCGAGATGTTATGAACATTCCGTTCAATTTAACACAAAGCACTAATACTTCTCATGGAATGTTACTCCCAATTATCACACCAGACAGCGATCTCATGCTTCTAACTACGGAGAGGTTAGACACAGGCTTAAACCACACAGAGAATCCGGTCAACGCAACGCTCCCACTTCCCCATTTTGAATTGCACTCTTTTGGAATAATTTCTTGGCCAAAGTAACTGTAGTCAACCCAGTACATAGCTTTGGGAGGATACTTGAAAAATATGTACTCACCTGTAAATTACCTTCTCAGTCTTGGACCAGCTGCTTAATGAATATCTCATAATTACCACGGTTATCGCTACCACATAATTAGTGACTACTTCCTACCTCTAATATTATCATCTTCGTTCTACTGATATTTTTTTCAATACCATCTTCTTACACATTTTCAATTACATAAGTTATTTATATATTCTCGAACCATTCATTTATTAGCACTGAAATTATCACTTTATTATTCTTCGATTGCAACTAACCAACATCCCGCCTAATAATGCGATAGCTGCTGACATTCGGAAACGCTACTGCCCTGAGACAAACTCACTTACTAAACTACAGGATGTATAAATTCACAAATGATTCCTGTAGTGACTGAAATTACAGCAAACGAGTGGCTAGGATGTTACACATTGAACATAACTAAGTACTTGAAACCGTAACAAAACAATAAGGAACGAAAATATAGTACTCCACCCCTCACTCCAAAAGGACAAGGTCACTTTGGAGCGTATCCAACGGCCAGCCACGAAATCAGTTCGCGGACTCAAATCTAAGCCTTACGAAGAACGCCTCCATTCACTAGACCTTTACCCATTAGAGTATAGGCGTCTTAGAGGTGATTTATTAATGGCTTATAGTATTCTTAACACTTCTGGACATCCTCTTAAACACCAACTCAAGCTTAGTTCGAATACTAACCTAAGAGGTAACACCCAGAAACTGGAAACTCAACATAGCAAGACGGGATGTAGACACAACTTCTACTCCTTAAGAGTTGTCAAAAGCTGGAATTCGCTGCCGACCGAGCTAGTCCAAGCGACTTCTCAGGAGTCTTTCAAGAGGCAACTTGACCTATTCTTAAGGACCAAAGACAGTATCATACTATGATTTACCAATTTCTCTTCCTCTTTTATTGTTAACATACCTAGGTTCCTGCTTGGAGAATTTGGTGATCCCCTGCTACTAGACACGGAAGCCTGTTAAGCGAAAGCTTCCTCTATTCCGTCCACAACCATTTTTTTGAATCATTTTGAATGGAAATAAGTTGATTGGCTCATACAAGCTCATGATGCAAATATTGGATATTGGATGAGGTTTTCTAGGGCCGTTTTGAAAGTGTTGATACTAATCCCTTCTGCTGTTCCCTAGCTTCAGTTAGGTTCCCCAATAACTTGTAGATAGTTGCTTCACTGTGATTGAATCCAGTTCAAATAAATTATGATGCATCTTTACGATGAATATGTTAGACGCTGTCACGGAATTTAAGATGATGTTCCAGCTACAACTACTCTAAGGAAATAGCTTTAACAGGATGAGTGCATGTTTATTTTCTCAGCACTTTTGGGGAGAAAAACATTCAGGGTTTGATGCTATGTATCAAAATTTCAAATTATGTTATCGCACTTCGTCTGAATTTGCCGAATTTCTCCGTGAAAGTTATACAGCAGAAGACAATTATTACAAAACACTAGTTAAACTATCTAAACAAGCAGGATCATACAACAACACTAGTAGTTTCAAACCATGTTGGTCTCTCCTTAAGCAGTTGATTGACCAAATCTCCCAGGTCCACCTAACTATTGCACAAGAACGACAGAATCTATCAAGAGATGTACAAAAGTATCTGGAGGAGCAACACAAGAAGCAAAAGCTAATCAAAGATACAGAAGCTTCAACGCAGGAAGTTGTACATGCTTTTCAGGTAGTCCTTTCTTATCTTTTTATATCTTATCGCCGATAGGTAACGTTTATCCATTACAATATAAATTGCTTAATTCCCATGTATTATGTTCTCAATAATTGCTGTTATCAATTACGTCATGGTTTATTATACTATGCCATTAAATCGTTGCATTTTGCTGAGGCACTAAGTAGTTTTTACTTCTCTGAACTACTGAAAGTCAGTAACATCATCTTGAGCATGTTATTGTTCATCAACATTTCCTTTCCCTCGTAAGGTTTACTCTAGTGTCCTTAGTTACGTTTTTTCTCTATTTACTCCGTAGGGTGTGAAATCAGGATTCAAACTCTTGAAAAACTTTGTTGTATTTGTCTGTATACCAAGCATCCAAGGGATTTAGAATGACATCCAAAAATCTTGTAAATGTCGTGATTCGACGATCTAAAGGTTTTTGAGAGATGGGTTCAGGTTATGTTATTCTCAACATTTCATCGAAAAAAAACACTTCCAGTTTCTTAAAGAACATTATTCATCGCTATGATTTCATTAGTCAGTATACTATAAGTTCTGATAGTCCGTAGATTCGGATGGAAAAGCCTTAGTGCACCACTTATATATGTATGAAAGGATAGTCTCTAAGGTGGTAGATTTTACTAGTTATTTTAATTTATAACCTAATAAAACTTATTTCATGAGCTAAAAGTCGAAAAACTATCTCTTCATAATTTTCAGTCGTTTTTTTTTGAGCTATGGAAGTAATGCATTTATGTTTCATAAATAGTTCACGGTTTTTATATAGAGCTACCTTCTTCCATTCAACTACTATTTCGCTGCTCAGGTAACTTCCGTTCAACTTCAGAAAGCGAAGGAGGCATATCATTCACGTTATAATGAATATGAGCGTGCTATGCGCTTGGAGTCTGGTTCTAATCGAGATCAAGAAAAACTGGAGGTCAAGCTTAAGAAAGCTCAGGATGAGTACAAATATTCGGTTGAAAAGTATAATAACCTACGCAACCAGTTCGTGAGCAAAATGCACATCTCTTGTGCCCAGTTTGAGGTAATCTAGACTCTCGGTACATATGCTATACTATTGAGTTTTTTTTGGACTGTTTCCAAAAATAGGCTCTAGTTTTGGATTTAACTATTATTACTCGTCAAAATATTTCAGGTGCTTTTGTTGATTGCGGTGAATGTGTCATGCGTCCAAGACTCCATAGCAATGGCAACCATGATACTGCATGGAATTGAACCAAGTTCTTTTAGGTCTTATAACAAGCAGTTTCCTTGCCCATTTAATTCTAAGCATAATTTACTGCTTAGTTTGACTTCGGTAGTGCTGAAGACTTAAACAAGAGTACGTTTAATCACAAAACACTCAGTTAAAATGAAACATGTATTCTGAATTTCCTGATAGCTTACCACTTCCAATTGCTTACTATGAAGCTTCAGTTAAATCTGTTTTTTTCTCCGATATTGAGATCGGTCTGTTGCTCTGCTAATTCATACTACACTCATTCAGTAATAAAAATTCCAATCGTATTCAACTAGCGACATTTATATGACAGTGTCTTATCTGCAAAATAGTTTGACTTTTAGATATTTTGTCATTTTAGTTCTACAATATTTAACATATCTATAATTGGTCTGATTTATTGCAAAAATCTAGATCGTTTATCGGATACTGTATATGTATATTATGCTTACCAGTAAATCATTACAATCTAATAATGAACTGATGTCATATATTTCCCAAGAATAATAAATGAACTACTACTAGTGTCAAAGCACGTATCAAGGAAAGTGCACGTGTAGTTTCTTAAAAAAAAGATCGTGATATATTTTCAGAAGTTTGAAACCAACACTTTACATGAAATCCAATAAGCGTGAGCTTATTCACAGCTTATATTGTATCAACTGCTATTAATCAATACCAATGATCATCCTAAACGCTGCAAGTCTGAAAACTTACGCTTAAAAGAAAATCGGTAAAACGAGTTGCATAAATAAGTATTTATGTGTTATTAACTTTGACTGAATGAAATCAGTTAGTGGTTCATGTGAATGCCCCTTATTTAACTCATTTCTTTAATATCCTTTTCTTCATTAATGGTGCTATCTTAATTGAGAGGAATTGCCGGCTTGTGAAAAACGTGTCCTGGATATTTTAAGGACAAATTTTTGATCAGACTAAGTATTTTAGGCCAAGTAACTCTGATATGGTGATAATAGCTTGTGGTATAGTTAGAGAAGTAGCATTTTGACTAACGTTCTGTTTTGAATTTTAAAATGATATTCTATACTGTGTTCACTGTTTGGCCCGTTTATTTCTCAACCTGTGACTCAAATAACTCTAATTCCCATTATCGTTCCTTTACTTTTGTCTTATAAAAGGAAATCGAAGTTGCACATCTGGAACAGATGAAAGAATTTCTGCATCGGTATGCATCTGTCTGGTCCATCACGGGTGATGCTTTAGGCAAATTACACAGTCAGTTTGATCGTGATTTAACTGAGTTGACTACAGACAGATTATTGAATATTCTTGTAACCGAAAGAGGCACTGGGACTTTGGAACCACAAGGTGTGCAGTTTGAGGATGCAGAGGTTGCTGCCGCGTTTTCATCAAATGCAACTGAACGTGCCAACGGAATAACAACCAATGGTGTTCGTGTTTTAGAGGCATTTTTCGCTCGCGAAGCTAGAGCTGCCTCTGCACTTGCAAGTAATTTACAGCATGAAGCTTGTCTAAGAAATCAAAATATTCTGCTCAAAACGTTTTAGTGTTATGGTTAGATAAAAACTTATGTATATGCTTATTAGACATAATACTCATTCGTTTGCTTTGCAAATCAAAACGTATGATAAATTAAAACGAATCCATTTTGTGAACGTTTGCGCTTCTAGTTTGAAATATTTCAGAAAATTACTTCCAAGGACTGAAATTGAAGGTATAGAAACCCGTTCTTAATACTACCCACAATTAAAAATTGTGACAAACATAAATGTTCTGAATGATCTCTCCTGAAGTAATTAATCGAACATGTAACGGATCTGTATAAAGCAGTAAAATATTTAGAATGAAAATGAAAATAAAAAATAATTAGCTATAAGTTATTAGTTAAATTTCAATTATTTAGATAAAACAGTGACTCAATGTGGTACAGATGCTTAAATAATTTTATCTTTCTTGTTGTGAACAGTTTATTTGTGTTGATAATCCTCAATAATTGTGACTAACCAGATTGTACGACGTCTGTTTTTATTATTTGTTTAGTTCTCACCATTTCACTTCACTAGTATAGAAGTTAATACTCTTTTTAAATCTGAACTTGTAAATTTGTTAGCTCAATACAGCATGATTTTTAGCCAATGTCTGTTGTTTGTGTTCATAATCAACTATTCGGTTATTTATTTATTCTAAAGAAGTGGCTTACATTAAGTCATGAAAAGTTAAAAATACAACTTCTCTACCCACTGGGATATAACAAAAATATATTTATTATTAGCTTTCTACCCAATAGACAGTTGATAGACGCATTCCTAATTAAAACCGTGGTCAGACAAGGCCACTTATTCTCTCCCTAACTCTTTCTTCTGATGGTCGACTGTATTATGAAAACCTCCACATCTGAGGGGAAGCACGGAATACAATGGACGAATTACATGCAACTAGACGATTTGGACTTCGCAGATGACCTGACCCTTCCATCCCATACACACGAACGAATCCAGGTGAGGACAACTAGTGTAGCAGCATCCTCAGCATCAATAGGCCTCAACATACACAAGGGAAAAAACAAGGTCCTCAAACACAACAAGGAGAACACGAACCCAATCAAACTTGATGGAGAAACTGTGAGAGGTGTGGAAAGTTTCACGTACCTGGACAGCATCATCGATGAACAACGAGGATCAGATGCAGACATAAAGGCGAGGTTTGGCAAAGCAAGGGCCGCATTCCTACAATCGAAGAACATATGGAACTCAATACACCTTTCAACCAATATCAAAGTGAGAATCTTCAATACGGACGTCAAGACAGTTCTACTGTACGGAGCTGAAACTTGGAGAACTACTACAACCATCATCAAGAAGGTACGAGTATTTATAAATAGTTGTCTATACAATATACTCAACGTTCATTGGCCGGATACTATCAGTAACAGCCTTCTGTGGGAGAGAACAAACCAGCTTTCAGTTGAAGAGGAAATTCGAAAAGTCGCTGGAAGTGGATGGAACATGCATTACAGAAATTATTAAACTGTATCACGAAGCAGGCCCTAACTTGCAATGCTGAAGGGAAATGGAATAGAGTAAGGTCAAAAAAGGATTTTTCAGGAAAACGTTTGATGGGGAATGCTGGTGAGCGGTCTATGTTTCTCTACGGGGAGGGTCAACAGGCGTAAGTTCTACTAAGTGCTCAGTTTATTTGAAACTATCAAGTCGAACATTGGCATCGATACTTATATGATTGACTACGTTTTTTTGTGTTAGAGTGTATGGTGTTTTCACAATATGTTGTTTTGTGCTATCTTTAGTTGAAACATTTTTCCGTGTAGTTGTAGGTTCTGGTACCAAAGATAATGGTGAATCAAGTCTCAACAGCTTAACAGATGTTAGATCAGACGCAATCTCTGTAACTAGCATTTCCGTAGGTGTTGTGCCGTCGGTAACAAATGTATCAATTTCTGGCAATGGAACTGCAAGACGTCGAGAAGGATTTTTTCGTCGACGCCGTAATTCCTTGTCACAAGATCCTGCTCCTGCTGTCGGTGACAATAATGCATCAGGATCATCCACCTCAGTCGGTGCGGCCATTGGGACAAACACCAATATTCAAGCTAGTGGTAGTATAAGTCTCAGTGCTTTCACCGTCGTTGCCAAACGTGGGATTCGCCGATTAGGCACTCCTTATTCAAATGGTAAAGATAAACCAATAAAGCAAATGGACAAGTCAGGTAGATTTGTTTGGCAATACATAATTTAAGTAGTTTCTATTGATGTTTAGCTTCGCTTTTTAATAAATAGCTTATGTGTTAAGTGGAGTCTCTAAATCGAATTTTGTGTTACAATTAGCCTCTGAACGTAAAATTTCATTTTTAGTAAACATCTTAGTATTTGGCAAATATTAGGGGTGTTTGAAGTATATGATCCTGATGATTGTACTTAAATCTAAGTTAACTTATTCTCCAAGTGCTTGGGTACGAGACGCAGTCTAGGTATGGGGTTTAATGATACTGCTCAGTTCTCCAAACCGAAGTAGGTGTAGCAGGATTTCAACCTGTGACCTAGTGGCTGAAAGTCAAACCCATTGGCCACAGGACAAATATACAGAAAATTGAGGCTTTCTGTGCTATTTTCCGGACTATTATTATTTGTATCTTCATTGCATTTTGTAGATAACTATATCGTTACATTTCTATACCTTCTTTATTGTAAGCTTCCATTGAACCTATTGATTATTGTTGTGCATTTTAATATTCCTTAATTATTGCTAATTGATTATATAATGTCTGCTCAGCCCTCTACCACCTATGTTCCTATCGCGCTTGATGTTTGCTTTCTTTTATGGCTTGCTGTATGGTCAGGCGTTCGCAGTGCATTATTGCATCAGTTTTCTAGTCATTATCGAATTGAATACAATAAAGAACTAATTCGCCTCCTATCATCGTCTTCTGATCGGCCACTGAGTCAGAAAGGGACTCGAGGACTAATAGGAGTTAAGGCCGTGTTGGTCACTTATCGGTCAGTGTTTAAATTCGTGAAATTTATCACGGGTCCGTTTGGGGATATGATACGCAATATCGATTCGGAATTCTCAAGTCTTCACAAATCTTTACCAATTTTTCCCGGAATACAACACCACTAAGGCACGATTACACGGCTAACGCATCCTTAAGTCTGAGTATACTGATTGGGTTACCTCCAACCAATCAGCCCCTTAGGATGAATCGCGATACTGATACCTTGAGTAAATTTTACAAAAACATATGTTTCTATTACTTTACCTTCTGTTATTCGAATTCATTAGAATTTATCTTGTGCCAACTCGTTCTCGTTTTAGTTGTTTTCAAGTAGAGTGAAGAGTATTTGTCAAGATATATTAAACAAAAGAATGTAACGGTGTCAGATATTAGCACTCAGTAATCACTTGCATGTATATTTAGTGAAATTTCACTAAATATACATGATCTATCAGCACATGATATTCTATTCCCAATAAAACTTCACTTATTACCACTGGCTATTTATATTCTCTATCAAATACAATTACTCGTTATTTAGCTATTTTTTCTTAAATTAGACGAAAAAAACTTTTTCGGACTCTTGTAGATATTGGCAAAGTTCTGATCATGGGTCTGATAAATTGAGATTACTCATACAATAAAGTGTTTCTGATTAATGGTTAGTGAAATCGAAGAAACGATAAGTGAACTTAATTCAATCAGTAACACATAAAGTATCTCTGTTTGTCTTTATTTTAATCTTTACGATACTGTTGCTATATTTTTCGATATCTTCAGTATCAGTTACTTATTTTTGCAGATACCATTACTTCAAAAAGTGATGATTGGCGGACTACTACACCCGTAGAATTACCGAAAGACGAAGACGGTTATAACATTAGACCACCTGATCCATGGGGTGAAAACTCTTCAAATTTCAATCATTCTGAGGCTGATGACTCAGGTTCCGAAGAAGATCTAGAAAACAAAGCGAACAAAACATTTCATGGCCTAAAAGTAGGTATTTATCTTTCCTTAGAGTTGTATAATAGGCTGTCACGGTTTAAGTTCATTTCTTGTTGTACTGTATTTGAAAGTTTCGATATGATATATTGATTCACTGTGAAGAACAATCTAGATAACTAGAATCTCAGGTGAACAAATCATCTCTGTGCAACTTGGTTGACTTGGGATATTGTGAGTACACTAAAGTGTTGTGTGGACTGAAACAATAGGATAGTGATCTTTTTAGCTGCATATATATATATATATATATATATATATATATATATATATATATATATATATATATATATATATATATATATATATAAACTGATTGTATAAAATTCAATCCAGTAGTGAAGATTAATACTTCCGATTGAGACTCTTAATAATGTGGGACACATTTAGTACTTTGTGTGATTTTGTTTGTTTGAATGATACTAACAGCTTATGACTCAAAATGTTTTTGTGATTTTGAGTGCAGAAGTAGGATGGAAGAAAGTTAGGGGCGACAAAAACAAAATATAGCACCAGTCCATGAGGTCACTGACACTTAGACTTATCCATATAAATAGGTATGGACTATCTGGTTGGGGTTCGCGTGATTATCATAACCAATGGTTAGGAACTTCTAATGACATGACTCATACTCGTTTTTAATGGCGGGTATGTATCCTCAAACTTTGAGATTCTAAATTCCCCGTAACTTTTGTTGTTTTTATTTCGCTAGTTTATATTTTCTTCTCGAATCGTATCTTCGAGCCTAATTTTTCCTACTATTACTGATACCGTTACTATCTTCCATTCTGGGATTTGGCTTAACAACTTTATCTCTGTGCTAATCGGTACGGAAACTTAAACCGATGTACATACGTACCATGTTCTATGTTGTGACTGACTGACTAACTGACTGAAAACCTAACTTTACATACGACGGAGTTGCGCGTTCGATCATCTTTTTATTGAATAGTCTTTACTAAACTTTGTAATTGTGAAATTTTGAGTTTAGCAACAAAAGCTTGGTACAGGAAATCGTTTCCCTATATGTATATACCTCCAATTCAGCTTGATTACATTAAATATGAATTCTAGATATCAGATGAGATGATATAGATTTGTTGTTTGTTCTGACGTTTTCCATTTTATGGAACTACGTAAAGATGTGTTTCCGTTTATTTTAACACGTAGATGTGACAGTTACACAATAATTGATTATTTAGTAGTAACCTATTGTAACAGCCTAAAACGTTATCACTCACATAATAGGACTTCGACTGATGCTTAGTCGGATTGTTCTGTTTACACCAATCAGTCTTTTAGTATTAATTAACATCATGTTAGGTTTGAATGATAATCAAATTATGTAGGTTGTTACAATACGATCAGTGTACCAAATAATTCAACGTTATGGCACACTTTGTTTCGACATTAGGTGGTCATAGGAATTTGACAGCAAGTCCCTGATCAAGATTTTGCTCCAGTTATCATGCGTCAATAGGGTATACATGATGTTTTGATGGAACTGATGCGCTTTGTGGGATTCGAACCCGTGCCACTCAAACCACAATCAGAGACACTACTCCTAAGCCTCTCGAATTGACTAATTTTATTTTATTGGTCATCACGAGATATTGTACTTACCAGTGATGAAATACTGTGGGCAATAGTTTTTGAGGATTAAAATAATTAGCTGCGTTGATTATTTTCTATCAAAATAATATTTAAATCTGTCATGATAATTACACCACTAGTCAAACCCTTGCGAATGCATTATACTCCAGCGTCAGCATCATCCACATAGTTGGCATTGAAAAGATCCTCTTTTTAAAACTAAGTGTAAATTAAACTTTCTAACACAACCACTCAGTTTAGCCTTCATTAAAAACACAAAAAGTGCTAACAAATTTTGAAACCGTTAGTATGGTTTCATTGAAATGATCAATAGTAAATCTACAAATTGAAAAAAGTTGCTAATGTCATTTTTTTGAGAGCTTACGATACATGGGTTAGAAGAGTGTTTCATCTGGCGAATGTTTACATCATATACCACAACAACTCTAATGTGTTTCTGGAAGATAGATTGCTACAGTTGATCAGTTCTTTGTTCAAACAATATGTAACTTGCTCCTATAAGTTCAGATCCATGTTTTACCCTTGATAACCCATCATTACCAATGCTCGTTCGAGGCCACTTTCTTCATAAATGGTATGTCCTGCGATCGAACGCTCTCGACCACTACTCCTTGTTCAACTTTTAAATTTGCTTCACGTCAAGATAAATTTAAGTGCACAAACGAAAGATTATTTATTTGCTTAAAAAACTATTTCATATCCCTAGAAATGTATTGAAAGCAAGCGCAAACGTTAATAATGACTTGTCAATCCAACTAATCAAATCAGGAGTAAATATTGGTGCATAAATTTCTGTAATTTGCTACTGATGTTTATTGGCTGGAAAGTATTCTAGGAGTTTCATTGAATTTTTCGGCTATTTTCAAGGATAATTTTCACCATCTAAGAACTATAGGTCTTGAAAATGTTATTAAGAAAAACTCATGTATTTATGTATGCATTTAACAATGCGACACGTCGATTATATCTTACCTTTCATCTAGGTTAATATCCGTCCAGTTGGAGAGTTTGCTCCAGGAGTAGCGCTTAAATATAATGGGGATAAATTAGAATCTCGTCCAAAGCCTTTAGAAACAATAAGAAGTCCTAAAAGCACTGGGAATTCACAAGTCCCTTTACTTATTGATCATCGTATCGGATCAACACTTCGATCACCACGTTCAAGCATATCTTCATGTCAAAATATTCCTATCACTGCAGTATCGGATGGCATATCAAATCATGATTTGATTAATGCATTACCTCTCCCACCATTGTTACCGCCTCCTCCTCAACCGCCATCGTCATCAGTGTCATCATCTACCACTGAATCTTTTGCAGCTATCGGTGCTGGTGGTTCAATGCGTGCTCGGAATGTCGGTTTGTCATCGTTTAATACACTCAGTAAGGGTCATTCAATTTCAGCGATACGTCCACGTGGATACAGTTGCAATACATGGACTAAAAGTAATTGCCTTTTTATTTTCAAATAAGTCGATTGTTGGCGATTTTTCTTAGATTCATGTTGACGATAGTGTTTACGCACACCTACCATGATAATATTGTTGTTACGAAGATAGAAAACAGGAAAATATGAAACTTGGGTAGCTAATACTTGGCGTATGTGTTTATGTATTTCTAATAAATATTCATTAAACAGTTGTTTTGTGTTATTTTTATGTAGTTCTAACTGTGTACAAAAATATGTTAATAAGCTTTGTATCAAAAATATTCTAATTGTGAGCACTTACTAGTGCTTTGTATATATATATCCGGAGCAGTGGTAGCTAAGTGATATCACTACCTACCATGTACAATGATCTATAGCTCAATCTGCGTATATAAGCCTGTACTTGGTTACTAAGACATAAGAAATAAATATATCATTAGAATAGGTACTAGCTGTTTACAAATGTCTGCACTGTATATTGTGAATAATTTTGGTGGAGTTTTGTTCTCTGAACTGAGTGGTTTGATCGTGGCGCTTTCATCGTTCTTCTGAACGACATCATCAGCACAAACTTCAGATAGAAGTGAATTGTTTGAATTTCTCCATATGCGTTTCACAGCTTGTTCTGTGCACCTCGATGTTGATTGGTTCTTGTTGACCTTAAATTTATCATTGTTTACTTCTTTGTTTTGGTTGTGTCTCCCATTGGTTTGATTTTTGTTCCTATATTTGTGAATGATTTTCCTGATTGGTTGATAAATTGGATTGATTTCAATATGTTTGTTGATCGCTGATTGACCTGAGTGCCAGGCTTCTAAAAATTCTCTGGTGTTTTTGGAGTTTCTTCTGTCTAAGATTTCTACATTTTCCCAATCGAAAGAGTGTCCGTAGTTATCCACGTGTATTGATATAAGTGAAGAGATATCATGGCGTTTGACTACTAATTGATGTTCACGTAGGCGCTTTGTCCGATGTAGTGTTTGTCGCAGTTGGTACAATTTATTTTGTAGATGATGTTTAATTTGTTTTCCTTTGTTATTTCATCTTTTGGTTTGCATAGGATTGATTGTAGTGATTTTGTTGGTTTGTGTGCCACACTTATCCCGAAGGTTTTCAGCAGTCTCGTTGCGGTTTCTGATATTCCTTGTATGTACGGTAGGGTGATCCTTTTGTTGATTTTTGTGCTTGATTTGGGTTCTGATGCTGCGTGCGGTTGGTGTCTTTGATGGAGTCGATTGGGTAGCCGTTTTTTTGAAATATGTTCTTCAGGTATTTCTCTTGATTTTTTCGTGCTGCCAGTGTGCTGCAGTGTGTCCTCGCCCTCTTGAACAATGTGTGTACGCAGTTGATTTTGTGAGCTCTTGGGTTGTTGCTGTTGTAGTTGAGAATTTGTTCTGTATGGGTCGGTTTCCTATATACTTGAGTTTCCAGTTTTCCTGTGTCAGTTCTAGTGATCAATATATCCAAGAATGCTAGTTGGTTGTTTGACTCCTGTTCCATTGTGAACTTGATGTCATTGAAAACGTTGTTGATCAGTTTGTATGTGTTTTCCAGTTCATTCTTTTTGACGATGACGATGGTTTCGCCTACGTAGCGAATCCAAATTTTTGGCTTGATCACTGGTAATATCGTGGCTTCTAGTCTTTGCATCACTGCCTCTGCGATCAGTCCTGATATTGGTGATCCCATTGGTGTCCCTTTTGTTTGTTCGTAGATTTTGTTGTTGAATTGAAAATATGTTGTTAGGCATTAATCGATGAGTTCCAGTAGACTTTGAATTTGAAGCTTCATGTATTTGGTGAGATTTGTGTCATTGTTGAGTAGCAGGGATATAATTTCTATTGCTAACTGTGGTTCAATTGAGGTGAACAGTGCTGCTACGTCGAAGGATATCATGAGTTCGTCGTTGTTGATTTGAATATCCTTAATTTGATCCAGGAATTGTGTTGGGGATTTGATGGAGTGTTTGGCTGAATCTACTAGGTGTCTCAGTATTCGTGAAATTTCTTTTGACAAATTGTACGTTGGCGTTCCAGGGAGTGCTACTATTGCACGTAGTGGAATGTTTGGTTTGTGTATTTTGGGTCTGCCGTAGAATCGAGGGAGTACTGGTCCACTGGATTTCATTCTCCATTGGTCTTGTTTTGTTATTTCTGCTTTGACTAGCCTGTTTAAAGTCTTTGAGATTTGGTTGTCTAATTTTCTGACGGGATTTGTGTCCATCAGTTTGTATGTGCTCTTATCTTCGAGTAGTTCTTCGGCTTTGTTGACGTATTCTTTGCCCATGATTACTGTGGTGCGTCTTTGTCTGCTGGTATTATGACAATATCCTTTCTATTTCTGAGTTCTTTCAATGTCTTTTATTCTTGTGGAGTCAGTCGGTTGTTTTCTTTCACCTGTTGAGTTATCGGTACTATAGTTTGCCTTATTTCCTGTTGTGTTTCTTCACTGATTCCGGAAGTTTTGAGTGATGACTCTAGTGCTGCGAAGAACTCCACCTTTGAGGCGTCGCTTGTATTGTAGTTTAATCCCTTTTGGAGCAGGTGTTCTTCCGTATTTGTTAGTGGTTGTTTTGACAGGTTGATCACGCAATTGTTTGTGTTTGGAAGAAAACACAAACATCTGCGTTTCTTTATGTTGGCGAGAGACACGTTTCACTTGTTTTTTTATAGACCAACTCTAACTAGCTTCATTTCCTCACTGGAATCACGCAAAATTGTCTCATGATGTCTCTTTTCTATTAAGTACATTATTGTTACATTTTTATGAGAATTAACAAGTACACGAATTATGATCTGCTTGCTTATTCAGATTATGCGTTGTGACCTTGAAGCATCACTTTGGTACCTGATTGTCTCTTTCTCATACTTTGACCGAACCACAATAAGCTTCTGGTGGTGATATCAAAATAAATTTTTGGATTCAGATTATATAAACGCGATATTTGCCAGCACTTTCTGTTTTACTCATTCATATAAACAACTCCGTATACATTGAACTATGTAAATAGTGTACAGAATATCTATTCTGTTTAGATCTAGACAATCAAATATTGTTGGTAAATTCCACATTGAAATATGTTGTAAATTTCACATGTTGTGAAGTAGGATATATATATATATATATATATATATATATATATATATATATATATATATATATATATATATATGACTGCAAGACTCGAAGTCAGTAACTTATATTGTAGATAGAGTTTGTAGCACTGTGTCGTATATTTATCACTCCCAGCTCTTTAAATTTAAATTTCTCTGTTTACTATCACGCACATATATTTATATTCCATCATCATAATCATTTGTTATGTTATCTAGGCAAATTATCCACTCTTCCACGAAGATATCGCAGTAAAGTTTACACAAATAAAAGTATTTTACACGGAGCTTTTGCCACTTCTCAAATTAGTATGTGTAAATTTTATCATCGATGAGTCTATTTGAAATGAGGTATCACAGAACTTCATGTCTTTGTAATCATCATTATAAATTGCACTATAAAATAATGATGATGATAATCATTCTTATATATATTGCATTTCATATCAACACTAGGTTTCCGCACTGCTTCAGGCACACTTAGTAGAAACTGTTTTCTTTGCTCATTTGCTGCTGGTATTAAATGTCATCTTATGTTTTATATGAATGTGTATAGTTTATGTATGTGCGTTCGTATGTATGTATGTGTGTACGTGTATAATGTGGTAGCATTATCATGATCTAATATAGCTTATATAATTCATCCACTATCATCATTATAAGCCTATATAATTCGAAATCGAGTTAGTCTGTATTTTTTTTTATACTTGCATATTCTAATTACTATCACAATAGGTAATTAGAATGTTTGCTTAATGATGAATTATGTAAAGGACAACAGAAGAAAGATATGCGAATGATGCATTTAATACATGATTTTAATATTTTACAAATCTACTGTTTGATTTTGCGTAAAACAGTTAATGGTTTACCATACCTGATTTTGCATTCACTACACTACTGATTATAAATATTTCAGTAAGTCCTCCGTATATATCTAATTATATACTTTGAAATGAAGTACATTTTCACTGCATTGATAAAAGTCGATTACTGTCGATAAAGAATTCTTAGTTTGATAACCACTTACAACTCACATTCATCAAATTATTTTTGTATATACATTTGTTTAATAAAATTTATCACTAAATGATTTACGTTTGTACGGATTTTTAACTACTTTTTTGGAAAATAAATGTACCTACATATTATTAAAGATAATCTTTTTCAGATTTCAGTTTATCTATGGTTTATTTTAATTTTAGAAGAAAATTCAAATCAACTAAATCCTGCAAGATCATTGGAATCAAAAGATGAAACTAACAATGCAACTTTCAATTTGTCGTCTTTTGATGCCCTATTCACAGTACAAGAAACCAATACAAAAGATATCTCTTCGAATAATAGTAAAGATTCTCTTCAGAAAGACTACTCTTCAGATTTTAAATTTGGTTTTAAAGATTCTGTTAGTTGTAATAGTTTAGTAGATACTTTACAACGAAGTTCATCATCTGTAATGGGTGTTAATCTATCACCTGTAAAGAACGATGATGGTGGTGGTAGCTTAGTTCGACGATGTTCTAGTACAGCACCTACTTCAACAGATAATGAATCATTTGATCAGTCTAATTGGGTATGTGTACATTACTTCCTTAGATTATTTACTTTATTGTTCATCATTTATACTCAGCTGTTCTCATTTTTATTTAACCATTAGTTTTTCCTCGCTGTATGCCTAATTTCAAACTTGTTAACTTTTTATGCTCTGTTCACTAAATACTCTAGCAGTAACTCAACAAATCCAAAGTTATAGGATAAGTTAAGAGAAACATCAAGGATTCATCGTGGAGATTATACATGAAAGGAAACAGCTCTTTTTGTGTGGAGCAAGCGCTTCAGTCAAAGGTATATGAAGTTTATCAAATCAACATTAGTAGTTCCAGTGTTTTAGGCTAGTTGGTTGTTCATAAGTTGGAGCTTCACTTACCCACTAACGTCTGAGTACTTAGATAGTTTTATCATCTGTAATTTGATATGTCTTATAATCTAGTAATTATTGTAAGTATTCATCCAGTTTTGTATTACATTCAAACAATTTTCATTTGACCGGGATCCGGGTGTCAGTAGGTACATGATTTAACGTCTTTAGCAAACGTTTGCTCGACCTCTTCAGAATGTGAAATAGCCTTTTGACGTGAAGAAATTGTTTCGCATTGCTAGAATCGATTATACTTGGTGAATTTGTCCATCAGAATCTATTAACTTAATGAAAGTCGACTAAACGTGTGTTTAGCTCTAGTTAACAATATTCAAAAATGTGTGATATACATCTAAAAAGCACGTTGTCCAATAAGTAATTCTTTTTTGCCAAATTCGTTAGATGGAAAGTATTTACTAAATACAAACTGAGAATTCAAACTAATTTAAGATAACTTCACTTAGACTGTATACTTGTGTATTGAGAAATCTATCTGAAGTTATAAAAATTCAACATCTGTGATGTGTGGGTGAGAATGATAATGATTGGTTGTCTGCTTAGTCAGACATATAGACAGTCTGACAGCTATCAGATGAATTATATATTCCCTTATCCTTATTATTGTTAGGACGGACTTATTATTGATTGTTCATTGTTGTTGGGTTGTGTCGGGTTTTCCTGTGGAAATATATTTACGTTGTGATCAGGCTAATGACGTGTTCTTGATCTGAGTTGTGTTGAAGTCCTGTAGAATAGACACTGGAAGGGAATCGAGTGTAGATATTCGTCTAAGGTAAATTAACGTCCCATACGTGTAAAAGTGGAAACCCAACGTTATAACATTAGACGAAGTAAAACTGAGCGTTATAACAATATGATTACATAAATATGTGTTCGATTAGTCACTGTGAATATATTTTATGTCATTTACTCAGTCAAACTTTCATTTGGGAATGCTAAATGAATTACTAATTATTGTCGTGTTAATATAATGACCGTATTGTTTATATGCAAACGTTCCGTTCAGAAGTCTACTGCAACAACCGATGGTTAGAGACCCTGAATGACATGGCTCAAAATCGTTTGCAATGGCGTAGGTGCATCCACTCTTTGTGTTCTTCCAAATTCTAACCTGAATTCTTCATGTCCCTTGTTTTCTTTCCAAATTTATTTCACTGTATTATACTCCTTGAATAACATCATCAAGCCCTAATGTTTCCGATTACTGCTTATACTCTTATTACCTCTACCACTACGGGATTTGAATTGACCACTGCATCTCTGTGCTAATGTGGTGTGGCAACTCGAACTGATGTACGTACGTACGAAGTTCTACGTTGTTACTGACTGACTGACCACTGCAGCAAAAGTATTTTAATGAGTAAAGGTTGTACATTTGAAACCTAAAGATACACGTTAATAACCCTATAACCCACACTTGAATTTCACAATCGTAGATGGCGTTTGAAACAAATTCAACTGAAACAAGCAAATCCTTCAGTACTTGTGTACCTTGGTCATCTTTCAACGCCAATATACATGGTACTGTCGTTGGTAAAGAAGCTCGACCTATTCCTGAACCTCCAACTCGCCTTCATAATCATCCGAATAATAGTTCTACTATTGAACCAAGTATTACACCTTCTCCTTCTACCCATTCAGTTAATTTGCCAAACAATTCAATTTGCTTAGCTGCTGCATTTACAGAGACTTGGCATGCCCGGTTTTTTAATGGTGGTGGCAGCTCTTTTTCAACCGCAGCCTCTACTAGTCAACCTCCTATTCAAGCAATCTATGGTAGTTTAACACTTGCATTTCCACGTGCGGATATGGAACAAAGACTATTCAATAAATTGCTTATTCCCCCTCTTGTGTTTAGAATTACAAATGCCGAAAGATTAAAAGATCTGCAACCTAAACTTTCTGGCTCATCAATCAGGTAAATTATATTACTCATTTATTTCAGATTATTTTGAAATAATACAGTTATTATGTTTCTATTTTCCAAGCTCTTTATGAAGCTTAATTTTCCCAGTTAACTTGTAATTGGTGAAGTATGTAAACTTGGTTATTAATGAATAGATTGTTGTGATAAAACAGTGAAATGCAATGTCTAATCTAACTACTTTTTGTATTCGAAGCATCTTTGAACAGCTTCCGTAATTCCAGTTTTTCGTTTAATAGATTCACTAAGGTGGTTTGTGATCTGAAAATACTATAGCGGTGCATGCTACTTACACTGACAGATATCAGTAGTACTTAGCATCAATCGGAGGTGGAATGCCCGCCAAAGGAAGATTGAATTGAAAGGAACGGGAAGAAGGACAGAGAGCAATCAGAGGAACAACAGAATCGAAAGAATCATGAAGTATGTAAAGGACAACTGATGGATGATGTGCAAATGATGTATTTAATGTTTAGTTTTCATAATTTACGAAAGCACTCTAATTGGTTTTCCCCATCTGTGTTCCGATTCACCATACTATTTTAAAAATAACTTTCATCACTATCTACTCATATCATCTGATAAACTAGCGAGAATCAAAATGTCACGGTTTTCAGTTTAATTCTGCGTCGGATTTTTTATTTACATTACAAAAGAGCTCTGAATTAGGATAAAAAAGCCTTTCGTGGCTTTTAATGATTATTCGATTGATCCCACCATTTTATGGTAAAAATTACCTTCAATGTATTTAATGAATATTTGATAATAATGCTTCAATAACACGCATAATGTAGGAGATTTTATTAAGTTTTTTTATTTACTGATTTTTGATTATAGTTACCTACAATCCAATTACTGTTAATATATTTCAATTAGTTAGTAGCTAATAGTAAAATTAATAAAATGTCTCAAGCAAATTGGTTATAGATTTAGATTTAATTACCATAAGACAGATGTTTATAGTTCAAGATTACTAGATTAATTAGTACAAATCATTTAAGAGATATTAAGTGTCATTAAGAATAATATTACTACCTATCAGTTAATTGATGTATTCATTTATTTCTCAAGTATCATATCAAGATCTTTTTTTGTGAGTATTTTTAATTCAGTTACATAATTTCATTGGTATGTTTTTGTTTTTCTGTTAGTTTATTTTCTGAAAGTACAACTCCTACTACTGATACACCTCAACCAATTTTACTCGAGAATTTGACAGATAACAATGCAACACAAATAATCAATAGTGATAATAATATTAGTTCAGATTATATGCTTACTATTCCTGGTGATGTTCTTTCACGTTATCTTGCTCCATTGATAATTGCTTATTCAGATGAAAACTCATTTTCTTGTAGTGATACATCTGATAAATTAAATTCTTCTTTTACATCTTCTAATGCACCTACATATGTTAAATTAGATGTATTAACTTATACAGTTGATTTAAATGCCGACGTTAAAGGTTACTATTCTAGTCTTACACCTCCAATACATTTATGTACTTACTGGCGTTGTGAAGCATTAACCACAGATTTTCGTTTGGATTATACAGTACAATGGCCTACACCAACTGCTGCTAAGGAGTACGTTCTTTTTTATTGTTTTTGCGTAATTCAGTGATATTTTTGGTGGTTTGTTTTACACATAATTGATCCCGCTAATTATAAGCTGAGTTATTTCTGACGTTTGTTCCTTCAGTGATGAGGTGTGGCAACTTGGATCGATGCTTGTATGTGCCTGATCCTACGTTGTAACTGGTTGACTGACCTTCATTGATGAAGACTGATCATTCTGCTTTCTGTTTTCAACTCAAGCTAATCCGAAAATCAAATCTTATTTGTAAGATTTATTGAAAACATTTTGTCAGAGACTTATCGTTTTCAAAATATTATTGATGGCAGATCTTTTCATAAGCATATATATTACAACTCGAAAATTCCAGAATTAGTAGTAATTTCAAACTGTAGACAGAACTAGGCCAGTGAGATAGAACTTAATTCCAAATAGTTTTTGGTCAAATGTAATTTGTCATTCTACTGTCTAGTATATCTTGACTTCGTTACTATACTAAGCACTCTCCGGATTCGAACAATAACTAGAAGCAAACACTTGTTCCAACAACTCGTGTTGAACATACAGTAGTAAGAATATTGGAGTGTATATAACATTTACATAAATTCTTAGCATCTCGATTCGTTCACCAAAGCTGATTGATTGAAAATGAACTAATCAGGGTGTTCCAATTCTAGCCTAATTAGTTCATTCAATAGTCAGAACTTTATTCTACATCGACAGAAAGGATATCCAGTTGGGGAAAAATGTAACAAGGTACTTCCTTGTAAAATGTTTTACTTGCATACCCATTTTACTTATTTTCAATAATAACTCATTAGCTTGTTTCTACGATAAATTCAATTTGTTTGGATCATGCATTATGTTATAAATGAACAGATTCATTGTGATTCTGTTTTCATGTTTATGGCTAAATTGCATTTCATTAAATCAAGTATAAACATTTATTGTTTTTATGGGAATATAATCATTCAATATAAAATTTATTAGATGTTGGCTTATTGATGTTATCCGCCTGAAACACTAATACTATTATTGCAGTACTATTCATTATAATCAAAAATTATATTCTGTCTACAGATATTTCACTTGATATAATCTTAATTAGCTAATAATAATAATTTCCTTATTAGATCTATGAAAAATACTGGAGATTTGCGAATAAATCTCATAATTGATGGAACTGTTAGTCATATGCAAAGTCTTCCAGTTGGTACGTGGCTCCCAGAAGTTAATCATGCTACATGGCGTATCCCACTTCACAATGCTAATATTGATCGTGACTTATCAAGGGATAATACCAGTAATAATCCACATCGGTCCGAATTCACTTCGAAATTTGATGCAACTGGTACTGTTCGAGCGAAATTCACATTAACAAATGGTCCAGGAAAGCCACAACCTGTTAGTTTACAATTCTATCGTGAAGGCTCCTTAGCTAGTGGTGTACAATTATTTGTTATTTCATCTGATTATCATATGAATTTATGTAAATATCGTTTGATTGGTGATCGGTATATATGTGATCCACCAACAAATGTGAATCGTTTTCATTCAAATTCAACGCTTCAATTAGAACAAAATAACAATAATATAAAAGAAAAATTTGGTTCTCTAGTTGTTACTGAAAACAAGAGCGTTAAAAATAAGAATGATAGTATAAATGAACATAAAATAAATTCAATTAATTTATCAGCAATCTCTGATACACTTAAATTTAGTCATTTACAGTAAAAGTGATTTTTAATTTTTTGTGCCTTCAATGCGATTAAACAAATCATCTGGGTTTAGTATTATTATTATTATTTGAATCCATCAATTAAATATGCATAATTTCCTTTGAAAATTAATTATAATTTGATTCAATGAACTCTTGTGCCAACTAATTCTCTTGTTATTATTGTCACATTAACTAACTGATATTGCAAATACACCACATATATCATTTTACACCTGATTAACTAGTTATATATATATATACTTGTTCATATTATTAATAATTCATTCATTCTATTATTCTTTTACAAAACGTTTTACCAAACTAGATCTGAATAAAACTTACATGACTTTCTTATATTAGCTATCACCACATTGTATCATTTAATTCATATACACTTATAATTATTCAACTAACCATGATGGTTCGAATGCTTTGATGAATAAATATTTTTATTTTTGTAAATTGTTTAATGAGAAATCACTGAGGTTTATATATCTGCTCAAATGATTTTGTCAATTTATAATGATGGGGATCGCTTAGCATTATTACATCATTAATAAAAAAATTATTCAACTGTCAATCTACCTATAATAACCACCTAATAATATGTATTGATTATTCCAGTGTATATTGAATCCCCCTAGTATGTTTTCGTTCAAATCTTCACTACAATGAATTCTTTTAATCAGAATAATTATCCTTCTTAGAGAGATCCAGAGAGGTGGAAATCGATACTTTTTGTCTTCTACTGCTTATGTCATCTTTCGTATGTAATGCTTTCTCCTGTATCTGTCCAAATGATACCTAATACCTACCTGTTTATGAATAATTTCTTATGTATGTCAGTATTACTTACTCATGTGTACTGATAATCGATGAGATATTGATTGCTTATTTCCTTAACACCAACATACAGATAATTGAATTCTGCATTGTACCTTTTCATATCTGTTTTTATCACCTACTATCCTTCCAACAAAATGTAAATTTAATACTGACTTCTCTTTCATTTCAATTATTATTAATCTTAACAATTTGTGCTGAGAAAGCATGGATTAGTAATTAAGTTCGATTCATTTATTCTTTGCCCATTTTCACTGAACTTTTCTGCCTTTCTTCTTGCACTGAGATGAGTAACCATACAGTCACTTAATTCGCATGTTAGAAAATTTCTCTGTCTGTCTTTAAATATTTTACTTCGAATAATGTATATTATTGATTCTTAGTCGTGCTGTCAATTCTGGTAGTCAGATTTTAATGATAATGACTATCATTATCATCAAATTAATAAATTGTTAATTGATGAGTAGACTGTAATTTTATGCCTTTATTACTGCAAATAATAATTACTTACTGAATGCGTGTCTATATCTTGGTATAAGCTTGTGTATATTTAGCTTTTCTGGCCATAAGAGACTACCTTGCTACGTACCCAAACCGAAATTTCCAGAGCTAGATTCATATTTGCGATCCAAGTATACTAAATGTCAAATATTCTAACCAATTAACTATTGATATTTTTATAACTGGAACATACAGTCAACATTTTACTAAAGGTGTTCATCAGCTATTTAAAACGAATTTACAAACTTACTACCAAACATTATGAAAGCAAACATGAGATATAAATCTAAATCAAAGAGTAGAGATAGCAGGTATGGTAATGATGGTCTAGTCGTTTTCAAAGTTTGGTTGTCAGTCTTTAGCATTACAATCGGCATTTTTATCTTACAATTTATGCTTTCCAAGTAAGCATAAGAGTGATACTATAAAACTGGTTCACATTGTAACTTAATTTTATATTGATAATCCCATTTACCATACAAAGGTTCATGTAATCAGCTTTGAACCGCACTGTTTAAAGGTTAGTGATAATGCTCGGCTTCCTAGATCGAAAAAGGTACAAAGACCTTCAACCACTGAAATACTGTTTAACATCTGTGTACCCATTCTGATATTCACAAAATAATATTTGTTGGTCTTTTATTATTCAATACAAATATGCATTTGGTTATACTTATATGAATATAATTTTTTTTAACTGAAGAAAAAAAGTTATTTGTTATAAAGAGAGACGACGGCATTTCAAACTGTTACGTATAACAAGAACCCACTTTACATGCAGCAATATTCTACTCTATACATTTATATCATTCCAATCTACTTCTTGGATCTATTGAAGTCTATCTTCTTTTTTATATCTCTCTACCTTTTTATAATGTTTTCTATCAGTTATGATTTATTTTCAATGTTTCTGCTATTTTATTCAAACCATAAATAATATGTTCATTTTAAAAAAGTAGAGCATCAATGGATTTGCTTTTTCAAATACATCGAACAGTTTTAGCAACATAGTTCTGTCAATTATATTAGTAACTACCTTTTTTTCTCTTTCTTTTCCGTATTTTTAGTTTAAACAAAATATGTGGTAAGATTCATTTAAATAAAAATGAATTACAGTAAAACAATCATTTTTATTTTCATCTGAAATTTTGTATTTTCAAAATGATTATTATTTACTACATAAACTGATAAGAACTAACTATTCAACTTTAAAATTCCATTCTGTTATTGTATAACTTTATAATTAGGCTTCATTACAAAATGATAATTTACAAAAGATTTTTGTATGAATTTATTTCTAACAAATAAAAAAAAACTCTCCATAAACTAAAATAACCGGCATATTTTATAAGATAAAATGATAACAAGGATTTAGTCTTTTAAAAAAATGATGCATACATAGATAAAGTAAAATTCAATCATTTGATTATAATTATTTATAGAATAGAAAACAAAATCAAAGGCGTTCCTACCAAATGTAATCTGAACCACTGTCGATATCAACGCTACAAGATAAAAATGAAACGGATAGAAATGTTTTGATTCAATGTTGGCACAAAGTTAATATTTATTAAAATTTAAGTGTCAAATTTCTATATTTTATGTGATATATATATGATGAAACGTTAACTGATTTCACCTGTGGAGCGATAGCTTATTTGATAAAATACTCGACTTTCAATTACTAGGTGACGAGTTCAAGCCCCGCTTAATGTAGTTCGAACCAGGCGGTTGAGTAGTATCATCAGCAGTTACACAAAGCATATTTCGAAGCTGAGTATACGGACCCGCGCTTGACAAAATAGGTCACATCAACTAGATTTATGATATTCAACTTATGGAATTTTTATTATCTTTCCAGTAAGTTGTACTAAAGTTTTATTCTGTGCCTATTTTAATTCATGAGGAATTATATTTCAACTAAGTCTAGGATAGAGTGAAAAGAGCCAAGTGAATAATTCTAATTGTTTGCTCAGTGGTAACTTATCATTGAGACAATTTTAATGAAAGTCCAATTTAAGATGTCATAACTTGTACAATTAACCAATCAGGAAGTAACACAATAACATGCTATTGACACTATCTATGACTATAGTGTACTGCTATTAAGAATGGAATAAGGTTTACAGTGTTTTCTATTTTGAGATCGATTGTAAGATTCTTTTAATAAGGAACTAAATCTACGCAAACTGAATAGACTGAACGACTAATACTCAACACTTAAACGATAATCTCCCGCTCAATGAAACCAAGAAAAATTAGGAACTCAGAAAAAAGCTTGATATTCAGAGGTCAAAATGATAACAGAAAACAAATGTGATCTTATATCACATAATAAAAATTTCAAACTAAAAACAAGAATAAGCAATCAGAAAACACCAAGGGTCAGTGTGGAAATATGAATTGAGAAATTGTCAACTCAGACTACCCTATAAATTTGAACTATCATTCATCAAAAATGAGATAATTTAGGTCCACTGTAATACAATCTCAATCATTAGGGTGTGATGCAGTAGTCTAACGATAATGCACTTGCCTTTGAGATCTGGGTACAGTCCTATTCACTATTAGACTGAAGTAAAATAACCATCCGGAATTACAAATTTTCTTAAACTGATGGGAATTTTCTACGATAACTACTGTCAAATCGGTTTACAAAGGAAACCGAAAGACAATGGTACGTGCACGTATAAAATACTTTTTAAAAGTGGTAATCATGAAAAGCGATAGCTGTCAGAGTGAACACACTATATAATTAACTATTGAGTCAAGCAAAACAAAATGGTCTTATCAATAAAAAAGGTTAGTAGACCAATTATGTCACTTGGCTTAGACAGAAATAAAGACTTACCTGGTATCGTGAAAGGACATGAATAGGATTTTTGTTTATCAATTAAATAACTATTCCTAGTACCTATTGATTTCCAGTATATTGCTTGCCAAATATATTTACTTTTCCCATAATAGTTTGTATAAAAGGAAAACTAACCATATGTACTATGTCATAGTTAAGAGTATGGGAAAATCAATACTGATGCCAAAAAGTAGTATGAAAAAACAAAATATTGTTTTCTTTCCAAACCCCAAATGTTTCAAATGTATATATATCAAAATCTTGTTTAGGAAAACAACTGTATAACAGGCCCTAGCATACTGCATTGTCAGTATGGGTGATACATGAAACAGTCATTATCACCACATCCATACCTTAATTATCACATAATGTAGATTGCATAATAAATAATGTTTACAAGAAACCATTGTCAAATTACTACACAATCTAAATTCGTCAAAAAGATTAATTGTATTATATACAATATAACTGTTACTTATGTAGATGTTAAACGGGTTACCTATCAAGTGTTTTTTTGATAAAGTAGACGCGTTTTCAATATTCTAGGGGGTTTTGGAGGGAAAAACATTTAAAATACAGAAGATTTTCTGCCCGATGAATGACACCATGTACGAACATGTTCAGAACTCTTGTTTTATTATTCCCTAATATCTAAGACCAAGTATGGTGTACTTTGTTGGGATGTCATTATGATAAACCTCATGGGTTTAGTTAAGTGGGCACTTAGGATAAAATTATACACGTAAGAGTAACTTGCTACACAATGACTAACTGAAACTCAATTGTGTACAGAACACATATTAGTGTATCCGGAAT